GTGCGCGACCAGCCCGAAACGACCCCCCCACCATCCGTGTCAAGAAACCATGCAAAATACACTTTGGGGCAAAGTCATGAGTCATGTCCGTGAGGCCCGCGTGCAAGTTGTATTGTTGTTGACAGCGACGGCGGGGGTGTCAACATGCTCCCTGTGGTGCGCAGGGCTACCATCCCTGACCAACAAAACCCATACAAAATGCAACTCGCCGCTAAATCGCGACCAATGTCGAGTGGTTTTTGACAGGGGGCAGGGACGGCGGCGGTGGTGGCGCGTGGCCTGCTGTACGCAGGCCCACCAGACACAATGATGTGCATAGGTTTTCGACAAGGATGGTGGGGGCCGACATGTTTCCCGATGAGTGGTGTCACGTGCGCAGGCGCACCTGACGCACTCTGCACGTGCCCCGAACGTGGCGCACCTGGCACGGCTGGAGTGTGCGGCACACCTAGCGCACTCAGAGCACGTGGCGCATCTGGCGCACCAGGCGTGCCTGGCACGCTCGGGCCCCAGGGGTGCCTGGCGCGCGCGGCGCCCCTGGCAAGCGTGGCGCACCTCGCCCAAGCGTCGCGCACCTGGGGTCGGCTTTGGTTCCCAGCAGCTGTCCATCCAAAGACGGCCGCTGAACATGCTCAGGATCGGGTGTTACTTATGTGTTGGGAGGGCGGGTGGGAGTGAGCTAAACGGCCTGCGGGCGGCTGGGTAGCTTGACCCCTCCCCCTACCCCCTGCACTGGACCTGGAGGGGGGGGGTTCGCGAGCGGTCAGAGCATCCAAGATGGCTCCAAGAGGGCCTCAGAGAGCCCAAGATGACCTCCAAAATGGCTCAAGATAGCCTAAGATGGCTTCATATGGCTTCCAAGATGCTCCTAGAGGCCCCAAGACCGCTCCAAGACGGCTGCGAGTGGCAACGGAGCTTCCCCAGGAGGCCGCCAAGAGGACGAGGAAAGTGTTACAATGGAAGGAAGGCCACTTGAGGACCTCGTGAGGGCATCCTGGGGCGTCTTGGGGCCCTTCCTGAAAGCCCAAGCCCTCTGAGCCGTCTTGGACTCTCGGGGCCTTCATGAGGGCCTCTTCATCAAAGTAGATTGATCGCACGTTGAGGCGTCTTGGGGCCTCTTTTGAAGGTCTCATGGCGCCTCCAAGGGCGCGGCTGTGGACCGCTTGGGGCCTCGTGGAGCCGTCTGAGTGGTCGTACTGGAGGGCGTCTTGGAGACTTTATCTAACTTTTCTTCGGGACCCTCCATTGGGTCAAGGAAGATGGCGATCGGCAAAAATGCCCTAGGGAAAATTCGGTGAAATAGCCGATACTTCTCGTACATGTCCACCTCGTTTGTGATCAACTTGCAACCATCTTGGAGGCCTGATTGGGCCTTCTTGGACTGTCTTGAGATCAGCAAGGGGAAACCTTCGGGTCGATGGGGCTCTCTCCAGGATGCCTCGTGACGCGTCTAGGGGACCTCTTGGGGACTGCCAGTCGACCATCTAGACACCCTAGATGCGGGATGGCATCGACGTGTACACCCAGTCGTCGGGTCGGCCAAGGAGCTCGGTAAATGGACGCTGGAGCGTCTATGCACCAAACTCCTTCGCCGAATTCTTTGGCTCCGTGGTCAGCCAAACGACATGGTGTATACATTGAGGGACAACCAAAAAGCATAAACATAAACTTTTGAAGGTCCGCGCTGATTCCTTGGATCGACGCTGAACCCCCCTCCTTGGCGCGCGCGAGACGCGCCAGGGGTGGCGCCGGAGGCGCCGCCAACGGGCAGCGCCGATCCAAGAAATCCGCGCAGACCTCCGAACGTTTGTGTTCATCTCTTGATTTGTTCCAGGAAGACATAGAGGCCCTCCAGTGGGTCCTGCGGCACGACTTTCGCGGACTTGTGCCAGAGCTCTGCCGGTGTTAGACGCGCGGCGGTGGCCAGACCAAACGTAAAACGAAGCCAGGACGAAGACAGAATGGGACCGGGACACAGCGAGGATATCTGAGATCTGGCGGTTCTGGAGGATGTGTCGGGCGAGCGCTCCGGAACGCTCTGAGTGCTTTCCGGAACGCTCTGAGCGCTTTCTGAAACGCCCGTGAGCGATTTGTCCCAGGCCTATCCCTACCCTAAAACGGGAACCCCATGCGCAAGGTCCAGGAAAAGATCGGCGTTTCGCTTTCGTTTCCACCAGTTTCCGCCAAAGGCGAGGCGCGTCGAGAGCGAGGCTCCCTCCAGCGCGCCCCAGACAGTCGCAACCTGCACGTAGCAGTGACCGCGAGGGTGTGTGGGGCGCTGCTCTTGCGCGCCTGAGGGGTCGTCTTGGAGACCTCTTGGGCTCCTCTTTGGGTTCTCCTGGACCACCTTGGAGAGGCCTTGAAGCATCACAGGCCGACGATGGAGCGAAGAGGCGAGAAAGCCAGACACATTGACTTCCCCTCCAGTGTTTGACGCATTCGGGGCTCTCGGGGCCGTGGGCCGCCCTCGGGAGGCTCCCAGGCCACGTGGAGCCGCCCCAGGGCAGTCTCGGAACCTGTTGGAGGCACGTCGAAGGCTGGGGGCCGCTCGGCACGTCGGACCTGCTTGGGCACGCCGCGGTGCCATTGCAGCTGGCCGCCAACCCGAGCGCCGCAGCGGTAAGCGCTGCGGCGAAACATCCTACAGCCCCGGGCACCACCAGGGCGGGGCGGCCCGGAGCGCCAGCGACCTGCCGCGCCGTCAGCCCACGGAGCGGGCCCTGACGCGGCGCCGCGCGACCGCCTTCGGCGAGACCTCGCGGGCTGGGGGGGGGGCGGGGGGGCGGGAGGTGGGGCGAGGGAGGAGCAGGCAGCAGGTGGAAGGAGGACGACGAGGAGGCAGGGGAAGGGCGAGGAAAATGAGGAGGAGGAGGAAGAGAATGAAGAGGAGGAGGAAAATGAGGAGGAGGAGGAGGAGGAGAAGGACGAAGCTTCGCGCCCAGACGCCCGCGGCAGCGCGCCAACCCTAGGGTGCCAGCCACGATCGTAAAAACCGGCGCTTCCATTTCCATTTCCCAATACATTCTTCGACAAACCTCCATCCTCTCTGTACACTCTCCTATCATTTACACCCGTTGCATATTGATTGGCTCGTGTCAATCGGCGCTACGCTGCACCATCCTGTACAACCACGTATGGCAGCACGCGCCACCTCGGCTACGACATCTACCCCGTACGACCACACAACTAGCGCCACTTACGTGGCCATTTTGGTCTGCGACCGCTGCATCTTGCAAACGATAGCACCACGACTCTGTCGACTTCTCTCGACCCTGCCTGGCACCGAGAAAGAAAAATGAGAGAGCCAATAGAGAGAATTAGCGAGAAACTGCACGTACATTCCTACGAGTAGCCCCAACGCAAGCCCTACTCGACCAACCAAACCTACCAACGGCTGCAAACAACACAGCGTCTACCCAACCGACACCACATCGCACAACGACCGCCAAGACAGACAGACGACACAATATAAGGCCACACGCACACACACCAGGCCAAAGGCAAAGGCAACGGGAAACACCACCAGCGACAACAACCTAACTAAAGAAAAACACAATTCTGGCAACCTGTCGGGCACAACGGGCACGCCCTTCCAGCTTAACAGGGTCCGTCCTACGCAACACAACCACAATGCCAGCAGCAAAAAAGCGGCACCTACGACCAAGCAGCACCGACCACACCATAGAGGACACAGCAGCCGTACCTTCCGAATCAAGAAAGGAATGCAACTCCCAAATCCAAGCAACACCAACCACCAACCACACCAACACAAAACAACGACTACGTACAGAAACCCAACCTCGGCAGCATCCCAGACCACACAGCATACACCACACGAGATCGACAGCAGACCAGAAGCTGACCACAGAGACGTCGTACACCGCAAAACCATGGCGCGGACGCCAAACGGCTCGGCGAGTTTCGCCGCGACGATGGGTGCGGCGCTCGACCATGGCCGCGCGCAGCGGTGCCCCGAGCCGACGGCGGCTTGGGCACAGCCTGCGTCGCTGGCCTGGCAGAGCGCCCAGCGCGAAAACCCCAAACCGAATGGCCACCAGAGGGGGCGGTGGGCGGGCGAAAGCCGCACCGCAGGTGCCCCCTCGCCGAACGTGGCGCCCCCCCCCGCCAGCCGAGGGCGCGCGGCGCCCCTCCCAACCCTGGGCGGCCCACGCGCCCGCTCGCGCGCTCGCCCATGCAAGCAGGGCGGATTGCGCGACGCCTCGCGCCCATCGTTTGGGATTGCGTCGCCCCGCGCCGCTGCGCGCCACGCGGCGCCCCCCCTTCCCTTTCGCCCAAGCGCGGGGGCCGGGGAGGGGGGCGCCCGCCCCGCTGCTTCGCGCCCGCGATCAACGCTGCACGGCAGTCGTCCACCGCAAAACCACGGCGCGGACGCCGAACGGCCCGGCGAGTCGCGCCGCGGCGATGGGCGCAGCGCTCGACCATGGCCGCGCGCAGCGGTGCCCCGAGCCGACGGCGGCTCGGGCACGGCCTGCGTCGCTGGCCTAGCCGAGAGCGCCCACTGCGAACACCCGCTGTCACGGGGCGCCCGGCACTCGGCGGGGGCCGAGCCGCGCGCGTCGCGCGCGAGCAGAATGAACCGCGCGCCGCCGGAGCGCGAGCGCGCGCGCTCCACCTGGCATGAAGCTCAGGCACTCTTCTTCGCGCATCGCTGTCGGAAGAGCAATTGTCTCTCGCCTCGAAAGTGGCGCCCCGCTCTAGCGACTCAACTGGCAGACGCTCTATGAGGGCAGCGCTCCGCCAGCCGCCCGCGCGAAAAAATTCGGCCAGTCCGGCCCCGCGCTCAACTAAATCGAGCTCATGCCCGCGACGCGGCGCCTTCGTGCCGAATTACTCTGGGCGCGCTGCGCCCACCGCCCCGGCCGCAATCCGGATGGCGGCCGCGGCGCCAGCGGGAGAAGCTCGCGAAGGCTCGCGCGCCCGCGCCAGCTTTCTCGAATAATGCGCCAAGGACGCGCGCTGGGCACGTGCCGTTGCCGCCCTCAGTGCGGCGCCACCACTTGCGCCGAATTGTAACAAGTCGTTCTGAATTCATGCGCCGCTGCCGCCGCTGCAAGAACAAACCTCAACGCCTCTTCTGAGAGGCGCGCCGACGCCCGGCGCTGCTCGTTGAGTGCCGATCCATCGAAGACAGCGGGCCAGCCCTCACAAGGTAGGCGCAACAGAAACGCAAACCCGAAACACATGAGCATTGCCACGCCCCTTCTGACTGACGCGGCCACCGGGCCCCAGATGCCGGCTTCGACGACTCTGGAAAAGAGGGCGTGCTGCATGAAATGCTTCACTCTCGGGTACGCCAGGCGCCGCTTCGCGATGCCCAATCGCGCGCGCTGCGCGGATCGATCGCCGAAGGCGGCCGTCGACGACAACGACGGCTCGGATGCCGCGCGCCAGCGCTCGCAATAATCTGCGAACGTGCCGCTCACGCGGAACAGCGCGCCGGCGATCTGGAGGCTCTCCGCGCCGATGGGGGGCGGGGGCCCCCGCCCAAGAGCGCGCTTTGAGAAGCGTCGCCACCGACGCACTGCGGACGCCCAGCACTGCGCCGACAGAGGGCAACTGCCAAAGGCCGCGTCCAGGCGCGCCCTCGCAGCGAAGCGCCAGCGTTCAAACGCGCCCATTACCGCGGCGCCGTCGAGGGCGCTCACTGGGCGCGGCCAATTGGTTTGCGCGCGAGACAGCATACTCGACGACGGCCTCGACCGCACCTCGCGCTCGCGAGCTCGCCGCAGGATCGCCGCGCGCGCCGCCGGGGCACAACGCTGCGCGCAGATGATCCGGCGCCGCCGCCCCAGCCGCGCCCCCTGGCCTCGGACGCGAGCCCGGCGGCGGCCCCGGCGGAGGCCGCGGGCGCACTGCGACGCTCGCGCCGAAGCCAGCGGGCGGAGGGCCGGGGAGGGGGCGCGGCCCCGGGCGATCCTGCCTCTCAACGTGCGCCGCCAGTGCTCTGGCGGCAAGGGGGGGCGCGGGCGGCGCTGCTTCTGCTTCGCTGCAAAGCTTGCACCGACCGAAGGAGAAACCCGAGAGCCGGCATGCCCCTCTGCAATTTTGCTTCATTGATGGCCCTGCGCGCGGCCGCCGCGCGCGGCGTCTAGCGCCCGCTGGCGCGCCGCCTCGTCGCGACTTCGCTGTTGCGCGGTGATCATTGAGGCCGACTGAAATCGGCTTTGACGTCTGCCAGATGCTTCCAATGGAACATCCTGCATTTGAAATACGCGACAAGCCCGACGTAAAACGCAAGCGGCTGACGCCGCAAACCGCACGCGCAAAGCAAATTGTCGAAGACCGTCGCGTCCGAGACCTCCCCGCGCGTCTCTCCGCGGCCGCGCGCCGCGGGGCGTGCGCGGGAAAGCGAGCGCTTCGCGAGCCGCTGCGCCACCCGGCCGACGCAGGCAGCAGCGCTCAGCGGGCCCTTGCGAGCGAGGCCCACTGCTGAGGGGCGTAGAATCGACTGTCCAACGTCGGTTCTACATATCTCGCGATCAAGCGACGCACCAGGCCGCGATCTTCCCGGGGCGGCGGGTCCGTGAGATTCGCGGCCGCGGGCACCCGATGGGCCCGCGCGGGCGCCGAGAGCGCGGCCACCAGAGCCCGCGCCCCGCGCAACTGGCAAGCGCGATCAAAATAACGCGCGGAGCCTCGCGCCACAGCCCTGCTCCGCTCCGCGGTTGTCTGAGAAAATGCCAAGCGCCGCGTTGACAAAAGATGCCCGAAAGCCGACGTGGCCACAACGATGGCCAGCATTTCCAAGCCAATAATACGATTGTCGCCGCGCCGCCCGAACAGCCGCAACACTGCGGCGTCCGGCGCCCAATCTGTGCGCCACGCGCGTTCGTGCGCGAGCAGCAGGGGAGGCGCGCGCAGCGGCGTGCTTCGTGCATCGGCAAACGGTTGACCCGCGTCCAAAGGGCGAGCTGCCCACTCCGCCGCTTCGTCAACGCCCGCTTCCAAAGCTTCGCGCAACCACTCTAACGCTATGCGCAGCGGAGGGTTGAGGCGAGATCCGCAGCCATGCTGCCGCGCGAACGGCGGCCGCCCCCCCCCCCCAAAAAAAAACTGCCCGGCCGCTCGAACAGAGACCGGCTAGCCCGGGGTAGCACCCCGGCCAAGATCGACGCCGCGCCCGGCTCACATTTGCCCGACTCGACCGCGCGAACGATCGCGCCAACCCACTTGCGCAACGGGCGCTCGCGTCGGAAAATTGCCCCCCAGCGCGACAAGTTCATTGCCCCACTCGAGCTTGCCGCTGGAAATGCTGCCGGGCCCGAGAATGGCACGCGCGAGCCGCGCAAAAACTCCCATGCAATGCGCTGCCAATTCCACGGCGTCAGGGGCAAAGTAATCGTCGACATGCCGGCCCGCGGGGTCCGCAGCAGGCGCCGCGCGGCGCGCCCAAGGAAGGCGGCGACTCGGCCCCGCCCATGGACGGACCCCGATGCTCCGAACGGGGGCGCGAAATGCTGCGAGACCCACAGACGGCCGTCCGCCAAGAAGGCGCTCCACGCTGCGAACGCGCGGCCTGGGGCGAGCGGAATTGGCCTGCACGCGGCGCCAACGTCCGCCTTCCGCCACGCCGTGCCCCCCGAAGAAGGCGCGGCACGCCGCAATCGCGCGATTGACCCCGTCCACGACGAATTCCCCCCCCGGCATGGTCGCCTCGGCAATGCCAGCGCGAGCGCCGTCAGCGACAGGCCTGATTTCGACGCCCCAGTCCGGTTTGCTCTGCGCCGCGGGGGGCCTCGGCGACAATCGCGCGTCGTCGCCAATGGCTCGCGCGATCTCGGCCGCAGCCGCCGACGCCGGAAAAGAAATCGGCCGCGACGTCCGCCCAAGAAAGGCGTCCTCGCGCACCTTCTCAAAGAGCGCGCTCGCCCCCGCGGCTTCGCGCCGCGCTTTCAAAATCGTTCGATCGCGCGCCGCCGCGCCCGAGCGCAGGGCGGCGACGTCCGGGCGTGCGCTTTTCGCTTGCACAGGGGTGCCATTCCCCGTCGGCGGCGGCGCCCCGACGATTGGCGCGCCCTCCGCGAAGCCACGCGTCGCTCCTGCGCCCCCGTACTTCGACCGCGCCATGAACGCGCGAAGCAACGGAATGTTGTCATCGCGAACTATTGGTTCGAATTGCTGCGGCACCTGATTGCGCCATTCCGCTACCTGGCCGCTGTCTTCAAAGGAGCTGCCAAGGCGTTCGATCTCGCGGATCCACCCTTCCCTCGCGCGCGCAACATCGCAGGGGCTGGGCGCCGCGGACCGCGCGAAGGCATCGCGAATTTCGCGATCGGCGACAGGAAACGCTGGCCGCGAGCGGGCAGATCCCAACGCGCTGCGCGTGGGCGAATTTCGGCGCATCCTCGGTTTCACCCGCCAAGGACTCCTCATGCAACGCGGGCGCAAAAATAGCCCGCGCTCCCCCATGCGCGCTGTCACCGCGGTCTGGGGGCTCACATCGCCCCCCGGCACTCACGTCGCGCGCAGCAACGCTCACTCGCGGGGCCGCTGGCGCCTCCATCGCACGTCGCTCCGGCCCGACGCCCGGCGCGCGGTGCGATCGCGGTCGGCCAGCGCACTTTCGCGACCGCGACTCGCCTCGCGGGTGCTCGGGGCGCTTCTCGGGCGCCCTCGGGGCCGCCGGGCGGCCGCGCCTGCCCTTGCGGCCCCCTTTGCTGGACCGCTCGCTCTTTCCTCCGCTCTGGTGGCCAGCGCTCCAGCTACCGCGGTTGCCCCAGCCCCCGCGGTGACCGCTCGCGGGAGTAGGCGGCGAGACGGCGCCCACGAGAGAAAGAAACCAACGACGCCGAGGACAACGCGGTGGATAAAAGGAGAAGCTGGCTGCGGGAAAAAGCGGCTGTGGGCGGCGGTGGCCACGGGCACTTCTTCCTCCCGAGGGCCAGCGAGCGCGTGCAGCGACCAGAACGGCTTCGCGAGTAACAAGCGCCTGCGAGTGGAAAGACGCCGCGCCGAAGACGGGGGGCGAACCCTGCCGGGGCTGGCCCATGGCACACGAGGTGGTCATCAAGACCCGAGCCAGCAAGACACACAGCACAATCGCGGCGAGCGGCGCAACTACTTCAAGGTGGAGGCGGCAATGGGTGAAGAGGAGGAGGAGGAAACTCGTCTTTGCGTCGTGCAAGCACTGACTATCTGCGAGGGCTGGGCGAGGGAGAGGTTCTCAGGCACGATGATGCACGTATGCACGACCCGCCGTTCGCCTTCAACGACGAAAAGCTGGTCACGCGGGCGGACGTCCAGCGGGTGGTGATGCAGGCGGCGGTGGCTGAAGGAGTCGACCCGGATGATCTCGGCACCCGGAGCCTGAGGATAGGTGGCGCATCCGCCCTGTGCGCGGCGTTCAAAGGCACGGCGCTGGTGCAGAGGTGGGAACGCTGGAACAGCGACGCGTTCCGGGGCTACCTCAAGGAGGCGAGGGATATGGCGCAGGGCGTGGCAAGCAACACGGCAGCCGCGGACCTGGCCATGGTGCGAGGAGGAGGCGCAGCGGGCAGCCGCAGCGGAGCCCTGAGGCCCAGGTGCAGGGGTTGCACGAAGTGAACCCCACCCTCCCCCTCAGAAATCGTGGGGGGTAGGGGTAGGGCTCGCATGCGGCCCCCTATCAAATGACCTGGAGCCGGCAACAGCGGTGCAGGCCGGAGCGCGGGGCAGCATGGCTGCCAGAGGAGCGCCGGGTAGCGGCGGGGCCAAGCCCCCCCCCTCCAGCGCGGGCGGGGGCCCTGGAGGAGGGCCCCGCGGCCCGCGACAAGCGCCGGAAGCGCCGGCGGAGCTCGGGGGGGGGGCGCTTGCGGCCGCGGCAGCGCGCCAGGCTGAGAGCTCGCGACGTGGCAGGGGCTGCCAGGCGCGCGAAAGCGAAAGAGCTCCTCCTCCTCCTCCTCCTCCGCCTGCTGCGTCGTCGTCGGCATCGCCATCGAGCCTGAAGGGGCCAGACTCGGAGAGGCTGTGGGCAACGATCCGGCCTAGGCCGCGTGGCGAAGATTGGAGGAGGAAACTTCAAATTCTCCTTTGCTGTCATCCTCCTCTTGTTTGGCCTGATTGGCTTTGTTGTAACCCGCTGCCGTTACACTCCTGTTGAGCATTCGAACCATGCCATCATCGTACTCATCGCGAAACATTCCCTCCCTCGTTTCCACTGTGTCCTCTGAATGAATGATTGAGCGCGTTGCGACAGTGTGACCTGTGCCAGTGCGTGTAACAACTCTTCTTTATATTCAAACACTCGAATATATCTTCGGCGAACGTGCTATCTTGCTGCGTGGTCCTATATTCGCGACCCGGCGTGGGTCACGATCCGCTCCTACTCTTTGCGTTCCGCAAGTGGTTCCGCTAACTCGTTAACCTGGCCCGTCGTGTTTGTTGTGCGTCCGTCTGCTCCTCAAAACTTTAGACTCTCAATTGCGTTGTCTTGGTCTCCCCCTCTGCGTACATGCTGCGGTTGACGATGCTTCGCAATAGAGAGTGCATTTTGCGACTCACGAATGACAACCCATGGCTCTCATCATTTATGGCACTTCTGACTCCTGCTGCCGTCTGTGTTGCGACGCACTCTGACGTTCCCTCACGATTGGCTCTAAACGCTATTTTCATATAATCGAGGTCGCCCTCATAGTAAACGGCTTTCACGTAACTCGCTGAACTTCGCGGGGTTCAAACTGAACCACTGATCACGACCCTGGGGTGTGCTCAAGATCCGGTCTCTTGCATGTGCGGGAACTGCCGTTGCTGCCGCAATCGACCTCGTTCCGTTACCTTTACCTTGCAATTTCCCGACGAGGATTTGCACGAGAACGGCTTAATGATATTTTGTCGCAACGCAATGAGCGAAATGCTAGGTCACTCGAGCCAACCAGCGTCGGCAACGACATCCGAGTGACCTGTACACAAGCACATCCTTCTCACCCAGTCGCAACGCTACATTCTAACACCTGCTCCTCCTTCTCCTCCTCCTCCTCCTCCTCCTCCTCCTCCTCCTCCATCTCCTCCTCATCATCACGTTCCTCTTCATCATTGTCCTCCTCTTGTTATTATCATTACTATTATTATGATCCTTCTTCCTCCTCTTCCTCCTCCGCCTCCTCCACCTCCCCCTCCTCCCTATATTTGTTTTGTCTCTCCTCTTTCCTCGTTCGAACTCAGAGGTGGACAATCAGTCGCTTGTCACAAACCAAAACAACTCAGGCAAGACCGGCCCGGGCCCAAAGACTCACCGGGCACAGGCCCACAACAAATACTCTCGAGACCCCATGGAGAGACCCGAACACAAAAGAGACCCGCGGGCGGCTTCGCCAGTCGCCCTGGCCAGTGGCCAGGAAGTGCAGCTCGGAACGGGGCTCGCCCTCCTCATACCTCCCGTCCCTCCCTCTCCTCCTCCTCCTCCTCCTCCTCCTCCTCCTCCTCCTCCGCCTCCTCCTCCACCTCTCCCTCATCCGCCTCCTCCTCCAACTCCCCCGTTTTCTCCAGCTCTTCCAACCCCTTTCTTCTTTTCGACCTTGGGGGCCACCTTGACCCACAAAACCCGAACAGGACCCCCCTTACAACAGCTAGTCCTCCTCCTGTTCCGACTCGTCTCATCTTCCTCGTTCTTCTTCTCCTCCTCGTTCTCCTCCTCCTACAGAGGGGGGGGGATTCTGTCGATTTCCAGTCGACGCGCCGAGCAGGGAGCTACCTCCGGCGCTGGGGTACGCGCCGGGCGCACGCTGGTGAGCGGCGCCACGGTGATGACGCCAGGCGAGTCAACGTCGCACCTGGCCAATAGCGACGATGATGATGATGATGATGATGATGATGATGATGATGATGATGATGATGATGATGATGATTATGCTGATGATGATGATGATGATGATGGCGATGGTGGTGATGGTGATGATGATGGTGAGGGTAATGATGATGTTGATGATGATGATGTTGATGATGATGATGATGATTATGATGATGATGCTGGTGATGATGATGATGATGATGATGATGAATATGATGAAGATGATGATGATGATGATGATGATGATGATGATGATGATGATGATGATGATGATGGTGGTGATAATGGTGATGATTATGATGATAATGTCGAGGATGTTAACCAAGGCCATGGCAATCACTTCCTAGAAACGCTGGCACTGGCAAGAAGCAATGCGCGGAATCCGAAAACGTTTCGCGATATCAGACTGCATGCAAATCTGGTGAGATTCATCATGGCCGCAGGCGAGAAAACTTCTTCAACATTCTAGACCGAGAATATCCCCTATGGCACAACGAATGATATCAGCGACTTGGTCGGTAGCTCTGACAGGGACACGGGCAGAAATGTGTCTGCCAGCGAAGCCTATAGCCGTTCGGCCATCGACATCCAGAATGGCCCGGCCCAAGAAAGCGCACATCGTAGAATTGGGACTGCTAACGGCTTGCTCGGACAGGCTGAAACGCGCACTCCGACCAGCCCCCAAAGTTGGACACCCAAGCCCGCGCTCGCGCAGCGCTTTGCAACCGAGGGCCCAGGCGGATCCTGGCGGGCCCCACCACTGGCAAGACGAGCCAGCGACGGGGGGGAGCCCACTTGTGAGCAAGCCGGAACACCGACCCCATGGGCGACCCTACCGCTCCGTGAGAACAGGGCGGCCGCAGGAACGCGATCCTGTATGTTCGGCAAAGACGGGCGCCATGGGGGGGGGCGAGGGGGTGATATGACGTAACGCCCCCCCCCCCCGAAGTGTGGCTCCGGAGCCGCAGCCGCGCCCGCGCGCGCGACGCGACGAGCGACGAGCGACGAGGACGACGACGACGACGACGCAAGCAGCATTTGGGTGGCGACATGCCCCACCGCGCCTGTGTACAACGTTCGCGCGCACCACAACGCACGTATACCACAGCGCCTGCGTACACCGCAACAACCGTGTGCAACGCAGCGCCTGTGTACACCACGGTGCTTGCGTACACCACAGCGCTGGTGTACATGTGTACACTACCATGTGCAACGCAGCGCGTGTGTACACCACAGTGCTTGCGTGCACCGCAGCGCCTGTGCACGTCACAGCGCGCGTCTACACCACAGCATCCGCGTGCAA